CGACGCTATCTTCCGTCAGTTTACCGGCGTCTACGTTGCCCTAACGTCTCTGCTCTCTAGTTTCACTTCCGTCTCCTTCTCCGGCTCCTGCTCCGAGCTCCCGATTCTTCTACACTTTACAGCTTCCGCTTCTTTCTGTTGCATACTTCTCCTCTGCTTACGAGAACGGTTCGTGTTCTTCCAGTTCATCTACAGTCGCCGTCACTCCTGTCCGTGTCTCTTAACGCTCGACGCATTCATGGTAATCTACTGAAAAAAATGTTGTTGCTAACCTGATATTCACATCTCGGCGTCCAAAGTTGTGCGATTAACGTCAATGCATCCACTTGATCGATCGGCTTTTATCCTGCATGAGCACCCTCTCCAGCATCCATTTTTGCTATATTTTTAGATTTCGTTGCAGTCATTGTATTAGTGGATGCAACCTTGATTACCGTGATTTTTGTTAATTCATTGATATATGATTTAAACTGGGACAAGTTCATGGCCACCGAAGCTTGAAGACTCTGTTAAGGGATAAAACTTACCAGGGAACTCTAATATTCGAAGCACTGAATCTTTAAATATAATAAAACTCAATCAAAAATTGAGAGATTAGTACTGAACTCTAATGACACTTACATTATAATAATGGTGACCTGTAAATTACGTTGAATCGAACGAGCCAGTAAATTTGCGATGCATTTGAATTGTTTTTGCCAATCCTGATTTGCGGTAAGCATCTGAAACGAAAAGGGGGGACTGAAGAGTTGTTTGATGGTATAGTTACACTTTTGGTTACAGTCATTGTTTATTATTATCCTTAATATTTTGTAGCCATTTATTTGGTTTGTTTTTCCAGCATCTTAATGTGCTTTAATATTTGAGGAAAGAAATTATTGAACTATCGGTTATTTATAATGATACAATGTTAATGCTAATAAAGAGATTGGATGTAAAACGAATGAACACTAAATATATGGATTATTTTTTTTTAATTTTTTTAATGTACTGCAGGCCTTTATTTTAAGAGCTTTGCTCAAGATTGAAGCTGTATGGGTCATAAAAAAAAGAACATATAAAATATAAAAATATAAAATTTTATGTCATACTCGTGAAGCTTAAATCTTATATCATCTAATCACTCTATCTGTTTTCTTTGATTCAGCTCAATTCTTTGATCATTATGTTATTTACTGATTTTATTTATGATGTATGATTTACTTTCACTATGTTCTTTTTACAGGGATTGGATTATTGGATAGTAAAAAGGTTTTTTTAGAAGTTGAGTGTGGTGGAGATCAGTGTTAAGATGAATATGTACTAAAGATAGGAACGGCAAATTAATGAATGGTTCTATTTAGAAGTTGGAATGACATCTATGGGTGATAGATTAATTGAAAATGAACTTTAGTAGTTTGCATATAACAAAAATGGTTAAAAATACACCAACTAAGTGGGTTGATAAAATTGATGTTGAAGGATTAGCGATGCTGTTGGTCAATGGTGGAGATGGGTAAGAAATTTTGGGATAATTTTGAAAGATGTATAAGCTTACATGACTACATTAAGTCCATCAGGTTGGTCCACTTAGGCTCGTACTTATTTAGTTGGGTCTATTCAGGCTTTCAATAATTTGGGTTTGCAGTTTAAATGAGTTGCTTGACCATACTTTTGATTTCCATAAATGAACCATTCACGAATTATTCGCTGTTCCGTAACCATTAATAGTTAAGCACAAGTTATTAACATTAGAGAACTATTTGAATCAATATTATATTAATATAACAGCACTATTTTGCTAATGTTGAAATTCAATTAACAATGATATCTAAAAATGCATTTTGTTTGGTTCAGTTTATGCCATACAAAAAATTGTTATTCAGATAATCAATGTTGGTTATGATCATTGTTTCTTGGTGTCATTTATATTAGGGACATTTACATACATAGAATACAATTCTTATGCATTTACATGCTCACACCTGAACTTTCATATTTACACTCATAGCACTCAATTGAAGTGTAAATATGAAAGTTTAGGCGTGGGATACGTAACTACATGGAAATTGTGTGCAACATATGTAAAATTTCCTTTATTTCAACCATTGAATATCTTGGCTTCTTGTTGCTACCATTATTTACTGACATCTAGATGGCATAAAGGCAGAACAGCATTTAGTTTCATTCGTTTCATTTTGCCTTTTCCATTTTATTTATCATTAATATCCTATGATAAAATCTTTGTTTTATGAGATTGGATTGGGTGGGTGAGTGTTTGTTCAATGTACATATTATATTTTAGCATCAATATAAAACAATATATACTGTTGGAATGAAACTTAACCGTAATTATATAATACAATGCTATTAATTTTCTTAAAATTTACACCATTTTATAGTTTTATATTTTCTGAATATAACATTTTTTTCTTCTATTTTTTAGTCAAAGAGAAGGGGCCTGTCTCTGGAGGAGAAACGTGAGCATATGCTTCAAATCTTTTATGACTCACAGGACTTTTTTCTTGTGAGTTTAATTTATATATATATATGTTTTTCTGTAGTTATTTGTTGTGCTATTTGTTTCATTCATGTTTTTTTATTGAAAGGAGGCTGACTTTTACTTAATACACGAGGTATGCCCATCCACAAATGGGTTATACATGTCATGTTTGTTCAAATAGATCTCACAATTTTTGCATAATTTAGTGAGCTTCAGCTATTGTTCTGACAGCATTGGTTTTTTTCCTCTTTATGTTTTTTTTTATTTGGTGAATTATGATGTTTTTTATCACATGTTTTTATAAATTTATTTCACTTGTGCATACCTCATAAAGCTCACACATGGAACGCTGACCTTGGATTTTCATAAGTTTTTAATTTCATAATTGCCTTGAGAATGCCATAAGAAATAATCATTTAGTCTCCAATGTTTTAGTCTCCTTGATGGAAGGTGAAGCTATTTGCATTTGCATAAAGTTGCACAACTCAAACTTTTTGTTATTATAATATGTAGTTTGGAGAACTGTATTGACAAATTTGATAATCTTTTATTAACAAGTCATATGAGAAAAACCTTATGGATTCCCTAACTAATAGTTAAATTTGTTTTGATGTCCTTTTAAACACTCCGACTTCTTGAGTTGCATTTTATTATCTGTGAACCAATTGATTAGATTTTGACAACAAATGGTTTACTAGGGAATTAAATATTTAATGATGATTAGGATGATCATTAGACTATTTTTTGATGCAGAATATGCCAAAGTTAAGTAAGACTAGTTTTTACGACTACTCAAAACAATGAGGGAAGTCAGATACACTAGGGAATTGGAGAAATAAAAAATAGAGTGAATTGAGATTTTTGCTATTAGAGAAACCAAAAGATTACCTAGCAATGTGCTCAAGAGAGTTCAAGCCATGTTTTTTATTTTATATTTTCTTCTTTTTTTCATGATCTTTAGTTTTAAAAGAGCTATTTGCTCAAGAGAGTTCGAGCCAGGCCCATTTATCTTATCACACTCTCCAGAGTCCAAGGAGTTGAGGAAGAAGAAACCCTAATGCCTATTCTTTTTACGCCATTCTAGTTTCTTCTAGGCTTCCTTCCCTATTCTACATCAACTAGTCCTTGCTTTTGAAGGCGACATTTATGATATTTTATCAAGTCTTTTTAATAGGTCTCATCAGAGGATTTTAATTGAAAAACTTAAAGAGTTCAGCTGATTTATTATTGTAAGGGTCCATTGGAACTTTGAGAGCTTCGTGTCCATTGTTGTTATGTTTTCCTCATCTTACTCATGCTTGTTTCCACTCAAATTTCTATTTTGAGATGAAGATGAGAATTTGATCATTGTCAATGAGTTTATGTTTGGGGCATGGTCCACTAGCTCGCCATGCCATCCATTTCTTGTGTTGAGCCTCCTCAGTTTCATGCTTGCATATTTAGATTAATATCAACATAAATTTTATATAAAGCTATCATCTTCCTTGTAGGCAATGAATTTAACGGGAGGCAGATCTCTTAATTAGTCTTGATCCTTGGTTAGGTTCAGCGTTTTTTTCGAGGCATGTATTTAGTTTAATTTATTTTATTTGATTAGGATGATATGTCCAAATCTTCTTGGAGCCTCTATATCGAATGCTTCACAATTTTGATATTGAGAAAATGCATTACTTTTTTTCCTTATTCAAGATAAGAGTGTTTGTTTTGGTTCGTTTTTTATATTTTTAATTTCTTGTTTATTTCCTCAAACCCTTCTTCAATTGATTTTGCATGATCAAGGTCAACATTAGTTTTTGGACTTTTACTTGAGTAGATATTTTCCGTTCTATTGGTTGACCTAATATTCTTTTTTAACTCAGCGGTGAGTCAAACTGAACGTTGAACAACAAAACGTGATTGATAGTCAAGTTGAGTGGGACCAAAATGATAATGCTAAGATGCATGTGTGAAATGAAAAAGGAAGGATAATTTAAAGAATGATTATATTTGAAGAATTATAGGTGTGACATATATTAAGATAAATTAATTAAAGGTTAACTTTGCCATTCTGAACATCGATAATAAAGGGTATAGATTGTGCTCAATGGATGGGAGGATAAATTTGTAGTTGGGGTATTTGGAAGGAGAGGGAGGTATACATATGATAACATTGATAGAAATTGTTCAAAATAATTTGCAAAAAAGTGGGTTTAATACCTCAAAAAACACTCATTAGGAAATGGTGAAAAATAAAAAATTTAAAATTTAACCCAAAATAGCTAGGAATGATGGGGTAGTTTTAGTTGATTTAAATATATATGGATGCACCTCCGAGATTTAATGAGAAACTTGTCACAAAAGTATGTATACCAAAAAAATTCTTATACAAGTTAAAACAGTCACCAAATGTGTGGTTTAAGAAATTTACACTATTTATTAAAGGTCAGAGCTTTACTCAATGGCAGGGAGATCATATAATATTTTTCAGACATTCAAACAATGAAAAATAACCATACTGATTGTATATGTTGATGATATTATTATCACTATAAATGATCGATACGAGATAAACAATTCGAAGACTTCTCTATTTTATGTCTTTGAAATCAAAGGCTTAAAATCTCTGAGGTATTTTTTTGGCATGAATGTTGCTCAATTGAAGAAATGAATTGTTAGTTCCAATGAAAGTATGTTATTGATCTTCTCAATGAATTTGAGATGAGTGTGTGTAGACCTGCATAAACTTCAATTGATCCCAGTGAGAAACTTGAAGATGGGAAGGAAGGTGATGCAGTGAATACGGTTATGTATCAAAAATTGATGGGGAAGTTGATATACTCATCATATACAGGATCATATATTGCCTTTGTAGTGAGTTTGGTAAGTCATTTTAGCATTCGACCTATGAGTAACTTCTTGAAGTAGTCAAAAGAATTCTTAAAGATCTGCAAGGTACACTAGGTAAAGATTCATTCTTTAGAAGAGCACACAAAAGAGGATAGAAGAGTACACTGATGCAGATTAGGCAGGCTCAGTTATTGACCTGAGACTAGCTTCTGGATACTGCACGTTTGTGTGGGGAAACATGGTTACATAGTGAAGTAAGAATACAAATGTGGTTGCAAGGAGTAGCGTTGAGGCAAAATATAGGGCTATGACTAGTGTAGTATGTGAGACGTTATGGTTGAAACGAATTCTCAAAAAGCTGTAGATCTCGTTTTCATGCCATTTATTTCTACTGCTCACCAAAAGGCTGTTCAAGCCTTCTCCTTGTAAGCAATTTGGGCATAATAGATATCGATGCTCCAACTTGAGGGGGGGGGGGGGGGGGGGGGGGGGGGGGGGTGTTTTTTTTTTTTTTTTTTTTTGTATTTTCTCTTTTTAGAATTTAGATTATCGGTATTTCATAATTATTGTTTTCTTCTTTTATCATGTGGAGTTATGACTGATAATATTATTTTTCTAATATGAGAGCAATCCCCCTCTATTTATCTTGTAATCGTTTTCTATGAAATTGAAGAGGAATAATTATTTCCCCCCTCCCAAAACCTACACCAAATGTGTGAAATATGCAATCATTTTTACCAAGTAAGGCTTAGATACTCACGAGAAAAACAAGCTGTATTGGTGTGATTACTGTGTAATTTATTATTTGGGGATTTGAATTCTAAACAAGTTTGTTTTATTTATTGTACACGTTGGAAGTTGAACTTGAATCTAATATGCATATTAAACTCATGAACTATGAAGTTGAGAAGAAATGCAAATTTTATTTGATCTTAAAAATAAATATTAAATATTTTTTGGCTTGAACATAAGCACTTAAAGAGCCTTCATTTCATAAGTAGATCACAAATTATTTTAATTTATACAAAGGTATTTTAAGGACTCCTTTTAAATAACTATGGAGGTCATAAACTATACTATACCTTTCGAACTCTAACTTTGGAGATATCTGTATCCATCTTTTCATCAACATGACTACTTCTATCCAAAATTTTCATTATTTCAACCAGTCTCTTATGAAGACACACCTAATTTATAAAATTTTAAATTTTGACACCTGATTATTTTGGCTTCAATATCATTAGTGATTTGTAGATGAGGCTATAGGTGATGAGTTTTTGATAATTCAAATACATGATTAATTAATGGTACTCTTGGATTTCTTGAAGGTGTATCCTAAATCACACATCTATCTTTTTTGTTGTTTATTCATAACTCTTAATTATGACATAAAATGACACACTTGTAATTTTTTCTTGCCTCTTGGGAGGCCTCATCTATCTATAAATAGATGAGGGGTCTTGTGGGATGGAAGACTATCACAAGGAGAAAGAAAATTCTGTTCAAGAAGATCAAGAGGAGGAAGAAAAATTAAGCAAGGAGAGGAAGAAGTGGAGAGGCTTTAAAATTGAGGGAGAGGTCTTAGATCTTGTAGAGAGAGAGATCTAGAGGGACATGGTGATTCCTCAATGAAATGAGCCTGTAATTATTCTTTTGTGCTAGTGAATTTTGGTAGCGATTCCCTCCGTGGATGTAGGTCTAAGGACCGAACCACGTAATCCCTTGTGTTTGTGTTCTTTGTGGCATATCCTTTATTCCTGCAGCTTTTCTGTTTTTTTTTTCTTTGTTTTTCCCTTGCTTGGTTACTGTTGCTGCTCCCTTTTTTTTTGTTATGTATTCAAGAACCGCAGAAGGGAGGCATTCGGATGCTACAGGATCAAGAACTGTAGCAAGAAGTTCCAGCAAGGCGTTGCAGATTGCAGGAAGGTGTTTGGGTAGCAGTTCTTGGCCAGAAGGATTTGCAGCTTGCTTCTACAAAAGTAGGGCTGTTGTATGAAGGAGGAAGATGGTCAGATGAGTTGATGTGCGCAGTTCTTTATTCCTGCCGAATATCCAATCAAAGCTTTCATCACTCCTTTCTGGAAGAGGTTCTGGGAAGATTTGGTTCAGTGGATGTGAAGAGCTCCATTCAATAACGATGACTTGGGGTGTTTAAATTCCAAGAAGGAATTTGATATTTAGTTTGCAACCCTATTCTTGCTGAAAACAAGGTTTGGATATATATTTAGTTCTCAATCATCTAACTAAATACATAGAGAGTTCTTTGGAAGGTTTTCTTTTAGGTGTTCTTGGAACTCGATAAAAAGATTCTTGACGGGGCAAGATTTCACAACAAATTAAGATCGAGAAAAAGAAAGCCACACATGCTTAACTTTTCCAATTTCTGTGAACTCTATTTATTCCGCAAGTGCTAATCTTTCTCCTGTTTAATTCCTTTTGGAATCTTGAGCACAATTTCTATAATTTGATTTTTAATTGATTGTTTTTATAATTTATATGTATTTTAACATATCAGCTTAAAGAGTTGGAGAAATTGGGTCCTAAGAGAGGTGTAATCAGCCAATCTGTCAAAGATGTTGTCCAAAGCCTGGTAGATGATGATCTGGTTTTGAAAGACAAGATAGGCACTTCTGTGAGTGCAATCTCGGAGCAATTTATTCATTGACTTTGGTGCTATGTATGTTGTTACGTTGTATATTTATAATTCTCAGATTTTTATTTTCTAGGCAGTTTTTCTGCTTTTAGACTTTTTCTCGTCTCTATTATAGTTGACCAAAATAAAAAATCTTCCTGTATTGTTCAATTAATATGGGAAAAAATTGAGTCTGAATTTCTTGAAGCATTTCTCATTACGATTGACTACAACAATTGACACTTTCATCGAATACGTTCTCACATGGTGTGAAGATGCTTGACATGTCAAATGAAATACCTTAAATAGAGCCATTTGTGTCTTATTATTTTGTTATTTTGACATAGATTTCATAGCATATTACCTCATTAAATTATATTTTTTCTGTCAAATTACTTCAAAAATTTTGCTTTATATGCCTTGAAATAGCAAAAATTGAAAGAAAAATGCCAGTTGTTTGTTTACTTAGAGAAATATGCCGCAACTTTATTTCGGATTAAGTTGTATTTCTTGCATTTGCGAATTACTTGTTGAAGTCCATGAAATAAACTGGTTTAAACAAACGTTTGAATCATTGTACAGACTTTGTTGTTTAAACCATGCAAACTTCACTTAAAAGTTTATTAAGTTACCTTTCTTGGATTTGTAAATTGCTTGCTGAAGTTCATCACTAAATAAATTGGTTTAAACAAAGTTCCAAATTGTTGTTTAAACAAGCAAGCTCCATCAAACATTGTCAGTCCCACAATACCTACTCCATTGAATTCTGTAGCACAAACTCCACTCCTTCTCATACATACCTAATAGAAGCTAGTTCAAAAGGTAACCCTTTTGTGTGAGAATAAGATATTTTATTCTTTAATATGAAAATAAAAAGTAGTAAGGAGCATGGGAAGGACAAAATTGAGGACCCAATGATTTCCCTGCTTAGACTGCATCTTCAAATTACAAATTTAGCTGATCTCAAGACCCGTTCAATGTTAAGCTAATGGATAAATTCTAAATTGTCAATTTTGCTGTGTTATAACTTTTTTGAACTATGTCTGAATACTGTTGAAGTCTTGCTCGAGTTGTGCATGAACTTATCTAAATCCTGCTCCAATTGTGCTTGAACTTATCTAAAATCCTGCTCGAACTTTGATTAAACCATACTTGAATTGTTCTCCAATCATGCCTAAACTATATTTGAGTCTTGTTCGAAGCTTTATTTTAACTAATTTCTTGCTTGACGTGTTTCAATAAACAATCCGTGAATATACGAGGGGATAACTTTTAATAAGACAATCCTGCTCGTTACCCCCTCAAATAAGAGGGGGTAACTTCATCTGAAATGAATATTCAGGAATATTTCTCCAAGCAAACAAGTAATAGGCATATTTCTCCAATATTTATTGTCACGAAGCATTTAATGCTGGACTTCCCGATTGCTATATGTATTTGGGGAATTTCTATTTCACTTTTAATGCAATTGTTAAATTAATTACATGCAAATATTTTAATGATTTATTTTATTTTAAATTTCATGACATATAGCTTCATTGTTCTTGTATTTTCTATGAATTGATTTTTAAATATGATAGAAATTCTGCATGTCAAATTTTGGAGCTCATTTTAACATGAACTGGGCCAGATCTTAATTTTGCTCCATTTATATATTTAGCTACATGAAGAGTTTTTTATTTTCTTCATTTTTTTTTTCGTTCGTTATATATTTATTCATTTCCAATTTATTTTGCTTGCAATTTACTCATCCAGGTATATTTTTGGAGTCTTCCTAGCTGCGCCGGAAATCAGGTTATGCCTTCTCGTCAAGTAGTTCAATTGGCTATCCAATTGTTTTCTATTTTCCCTTTTATTTTTTATTAAAAAACTATAGGGTCATTTACATATCTGGCGCACAATTCTCATGAATTGACGTATCTCACATTTAAACTTTTATATTTACACACATAGCACTATCACATAAAAAATAATATTATTAGCACTTTCAAAAGTCAAATACACATTTTCATGCTTAGGTTTAAAGCACAAAAGTGCTATGTATGTAAATATGAAAGTTAGGTGTGAGATATGTAAATAAAAAAGAATTGTGCTGCGTATGTAAATTTCCTAATATAAAATATATATTTTTTCGCATACTTTTGATTTTGGCAAACAGCTGAGAAATGCACACAACAAACTAGAATCCGATCTCTTGAATTGCACAAAGCAGCTTGCAGAGCTGGATGAGAAGAGAGTTAGCCTGAAGCGGGGCAGAGAGGAATCAGTAAGCCTTTTTTATTGCCTAGCGGTTAAATGTGTTAGTTATAAAATTGTTTTTGGGATGTCCAGCTGATGAAGCATTCTCAGTTCTTAGACCTAACATTCAGTTTTTACATATATGCCACCTTATATATGCTTAAAAAGGTGTATTTCACTTTAAAAGTAATATGGTGGTATTTTTTACGTGATATAAAAGATTTGGGTGGTATAAATGTAAAAAGTAAATTTAGGAGATAGATTATAAATACATAGGAATTTGGTGGTATGTGGTGAATTTTTTTTGGGACGTAGGATCTCGTATTATTCATGATACCACACAATCTAATGTAAGATCCTGAAATCCTCCTGTGTAAGGAGGGAGATAGTTTTGCCTAGAGAACCCAGAACCGGGGGGGGGGGGGGGGGGTGGGGAAGACAACTCGATGTCGATTATGTTATGGGTGTCCTCTGTCCCGATCAACAGGTTTTTCCTCAAAAATTATTGAATGTATTTATTATTGATCATACGCTGCTTCCAATTGGATCGAAGCATTTCAAAAGACCGAAGATGATGTGGTCTTTTCAATGGGTCGATATGTTCGGAAATAATTAAAAAAAAGGGATCTGTTTGATCTGTTAGGGTGATTGGTAGTTTGATTCTTTAAGTAAAAAGGCTTGGGTTCGTGACTTAGTATTTGAGTATATAGTATTGTTGAGGATCTAAGGCAAAGTAAACCAAGAATCATCGAAATCAAGAAGAAAACACAGAGATTTAACGAGATTCGACAATTTGTCTACGTCCTCGGGGGCAGAGCGGCGGCTTCTTTAGATTTCACAGAAAATAGTACAAAAATCCCCTTAGGGTTACAAATACAACACATATATAACTCTGGTGTACAATATGTAATTACAAAAGCGGGGGTATTGCCCCCGCATCCCCAACCCACTTAACGAAACTCCCCCGATTGGACAGATGCTTCCACTTCGTTGGCTCGCTCCGTTCCGCTCCAACATCTATTTCTTATATGAAATATGAGCCATACCTAACAAGTACGTGTGTTAATGCCCCTTTATTTATTTCTGTATGGACAATTGGGAATAAAATACAGTAATATCTATAATGCATCAATACAGATACATATGTGATACCAAATGGTTACAGGAAAATTAAATAAATATGGAATGAAATTATTTCAATTGCTCATAGAATAATAAGTATATTTAAATTTATTAAATAACTTAAACTCAACTAAAGAAGAAAGTTCCATGATCTTGTAGATTGTTAGCTTGTAGTTGAGAAAGTTGATTCTTTTATAAAATAATGAAAAATAAATGTCATAAGAAAATCATGGACAAAATAGAGTTGTGAATAAAATGAAATTATTGTTAGTAGCTTTTAGTTTTCTTGCGCAATAGACAACTTAATTGTTTATATGGTACACTTTTGAAGTTAAATTTTATTATTCAAAACATGTGCTTAGACAGATGCCTGTTAATTTTTTATATTTTTTTAATTGAGCATATGGATGGCATGTCCGACATGTGTTAGGCTTGTGACAAGCAAGTGCACATGTTCTGCATTATCTGGCATGACATGTTTTATTATTACTAAGTGTATTATTGTAATATAGTTAATACAGATGAGTTCAATTTATCTTTTACTGATTTTTTTAGGCAGATTCTGTACTTCTCATAATATTCTGTATAAGCCTTGTTTAAGGAGGCAAATTACAAGGAACTGCAATAAAAAAATGGCATTTACGTAAATAGCTCACAAGTCACATATCTCACTACTACACTTTCATATTTGCACACATATCACTCAAATCTTTATTATCATATCACAAATAGCACTAATACCACTTTTTAAAAGTGAAATACTCATTTTCGTGCATAATTTTAAAGCACCAAAATGCTATATATGTAAATATGGAAGTTTAGATGTGATTATGTAAATACATAATAATTGTGTGCAAGTTTTGTAAATTTTTCATAAAAAAATGGGAAATAATTAATAAGCACTCTCTTTTAATCCTTCATTTCGTTATTGGCAAATGGAGAAGTTAGGGTGTAGTTTCATTTTTTTTTTGAGAATATATAAGGGAAAAGGGTAAGTGACTGTTGCTGTAATAATTGAGGGGATCTAAACAATGGGCAGCTATCATGAAATTATAACTCTTGCAGATTCAGTCATCAAAATTTTTGGTAGGTTTTATGGATCATGTTTTGATTGTTAGGGAGGCTTTTATTTTGTTTTTTTAGTCTTGTAGCAACTTTTTGAGGTGAAATCATTGTGAAAACCTCTAAATATATGAGGATTTGTTTGGAAGCATTAAAAGTTGTAATGTATTTCATTTTTTCTGCCTTAAAGCAAAAGAAATACAAATTAAATTTTTGGCATGTTCTAATTATCTCAAAATTCATAGTTTCCTTACATTTGGAAATCACCTAAATTGGTTGATTTTCAAATCTCGTGATGTGTCATCCTCTTATCCGCTCGTGCCACGCCACTCCAGTCCTCGTTTAGGGATGTCAAATTGGGTCTGTGTTCAGGTTTGATCCGAATTTGACATAACCCAAAATTGTTTGACCTAAACTCGACCTGACCAAAAACTATTTGACACAAAGCCGACTTGAATATTAAATGAGTCAATAAGTCTAACTTGAACCCGACTCACTTTAACATGTTTAACATAAGACATAATGGCTATTCAGGTTGATTTTGAGTCCATTTCCAGTTAGCAGATTAGTTTTGAAGTGATTTCAACTTGGCGGGTCAACCCAAATCAGACAAAAAATATTAAATGGATTAGAATTCCTAACCCAAATTGGACCCGAGAATTATTCAGGTCAACTTGAATCTAGATTTTTCGAGTCGAGTTTAGGCCAAGTTGACTTATCGGGTAAATGTCAACTTTTGACACCCTTACCCTCCGTCGCATCACTTGTTCATTTTACCCTCGCCATGTGGCCTGCATCCCCTCGCCTTTTACCAACTAGCCCATCACCTAATTTATGAATTTCCCTATATGTGTTAAGAGAGAGTATTTGAAATACTACCTTTCAAACTCAATTAAAATATTTTAATGCATTTTATTTGCATCAAATCAAATAATTTCTACTTAGCCCATCACCTATTTTATGAATTTCCCTATAAGAGTTAAGAGAGTATTTGAAATACAACCTTTCAAACTCAATTAAAATATTTTAATGCATTTTATTTGCATCAAATCAAATAATTTCTACTTGGCCCATCACCTATTTTATGAATTTCCCTATAAGAGTTAAGAGAGTATTTGAAATACAACCTTTCAAACTCAATTAAAATATTTTAATGCATTTTATTTGCATCAAATCAAATAATTTCTACTTAGCCCATCACCTATTTTATGAATTTCCCTATAAGAGTTAAGAGAGTATTTGAAATACAACCTTTCAAACTCAATTAAAATATTTTAATGCATTTTATTTGCATCAAATCAAATAATTTCTACTTAGCCCATCACCTATTTTATGAATTTCCCTATAAGAGTTAAGAGAGTATTTGAAATACAACCTTTCAAACTCAATTAAAATATTTTAATGCATTTTATTTGCATCAAATCAAATAATTTCTACTTAGCCCATCACCTATTTTATGAATTTCCCTATAAGAGTTAAGAGAGTATTTGAAATACAACCTTTCAAACTCAATTAAAATATTTTAATGCATTTTATTTGCATCAAATCAAATAATTTCTACTTAGCCCATCACCTATTTTATGAATTTCCCTATAAGAGTTAAGAGAGTATTTGAAATACAACCTTTCAAACTCAATTAAAATATTTTAATGCATTTTATTTGCATCAAATCAAATAATTTCTACTTAGCCCATCACCTATTTTATGAATTTCCCTATAAGAGTTAAGAGAGTATTTGAAATACAACCTTTCAAACTCAATTAAAATATTTTAATGCATTTTATCTGCTTCAAACCAAATAATTTCTTCGATTTTCTTGCTTTGAAGATTATTCTCTCTTTATGGCATTCGTATCTGTCTGTATATTATTTTTCACATATAGGATGACAGGGAGATGGCTTTGGAAGAGTTAAAGAGCATTGAGCTGCAGCATAAGATGTTGAAGGTAGTTCCGTAGCAGCTTACAGATTCTGATATATTTTGTAATTTCAGATTTACTCATTTCTGCTTTATTTGTTGATTTATCTTATTATAAGGAAGAAGTTGCCCTCTTTGCTGACAATGATCCAGCTGCAGTTGAAGCAATGAGTAAGAATTGCTTTAAATCTCATTCAGAATGTAGAACTGCTTTAAATCCAATTCAGAAATTCATCTTTTATTCTCTTTTCCAAGCTGTTCATGATATGACACGTTACCCATGTATTTATGTCGTGTCAAATCAAGGTTCGGGTCTGACCTAAAATTGAACCAACCCAAAATTATTTGACCCGAACTCAACTAGAATATTAAATAGGTTAGAAAGTCTAACATGAACTCGACGCATCTTCAACCCGCTAACTTGAACCCGACATGTATAACACATTTAACATAAGGAATAATAAGAACTATTCAAGTCAAATTCGAGTCAATTTCAAGTCAATCTTGGGTCATTTTTGAGTCTATTTTGGGTTAGCAGGTCAGTTTTCGGTGTCAAACTGAACCTGTTCGGAATAATTAAATGAGTTAGGTTTCCTAACCCGAACTTGATCTGAAAATTATTTGGGTCAACCCCCACCTAAACTTTTCGAGTCATGTTTAGGTCAAATTGAAATGTTGGGTCAACTTTTAACACCCCTGTGTATTTATGCTTTGATGTTACGTTCTCTTTTGATCCATTGCATGATTGGATATGAATCATGATATTAACTCCAGCAAACAGAACAAATAAAAGGAAGCAAGCAGAGAATTAAGATAAATTTTTGCAGGAAAACTTCTCATCCTTACTATCAAATACCACTCAATTGTAATGTAATTAGATATCTAGCACCTATACTTCAATTTTTACATATATGTATGCTATCTTATCTATGCATGAAAAGATCTATCTTACTTTTTAAAAGTTAAAATAATGTTATCTTTTGACGTGATGAAAGATTTTTGGTGGTGTGGATTTAAAAAGGCAAAGTTTAGATGTTAGATATGTAAGAACATTAGAATTGTGTGGGTATGTTTCTAAATTCCCCTTATAGTTACATTATATGAAAAATTGTATGGTTTGGTTCATAGGTGGCGATTCGACTTTGTAAGCCATACATCTAATAACCTTTTGTATAATGCTTGACAAGGGAGTCTTCTTAATTATCTTATGAAAATTACTGTTTTATCAACTGTGTTTTATCAACTCTTCTTAGTTGTAGTGTTTAATCTATATTCCTATATTAATATTCCTATATTGTAGAAATGGCGATCGAGGTTGGTCACGCCGCAGCGAATCGATGGACAGGTATATTGTTGGCTGCTCCTGTAATTTTAATTTTTATATTGCAACTTTACATACTCACCACACAATTCATATGGATTTATATATCTAACACCCAACGTTTGTTATTTTGCAAATTTAACAACTTGGCGCTATAATTCCTTCAATAAAAAGTTGCATTTGACCTTTAGAAAGTTAATGAAGCGGTATTTATGATGTTGATGTTAAAGATTTGAGTTTTATGAAAGTAAAAATATTAAAGTTTAGGTTTTAAATATATAAATATATAAGAATTGTGTGGATGTGTATGTAAATATCCCTTTTAATATATGTTTTTTAGCCTTCCAAATATTGATTTGCTGATTTTTCTGCTGCCTTCCAAGTTCAGATAATGTATTCACACTGCAGCATTGGTGTTCATCTAATTTTCCTGAGGCAAAAGAACAACTTGAGCACATGTATAAGGAGGTGTGTGCCATTTTAATCTAGTCATATAAATATTATTTTTGAAGTAAAACATTGTATTGGAATGTTGGGATAATTACAGATAGACCACCCAAAATGTTAATAATTACAAATTAATTTGTTAGGTGATTTTTTTTAACTTATGTAATGATATATTTACGTGTTTCACGATCAAATTATTGGGAATTTGATAAAAATGAAGATTATGGGTTGCAGTTTTACCATGAATTTTGATATTTTAGTGACAATTTGAAAATGGAGGGTGGCTGATTTGTAAATAGCAAGTTTCAGGGTGCCTGTATGTAATGGCCCCTAGAATGTCATTAGATTTTTCAATGTCATTAGATTTAATTAAAATTTATGTGCACTAATTTCAAAGCATTTTCAGTGTTTTTGACTCTGAACCCAATGTTGTTTTAAGATTTACATACAAACCGCTCAATCCTTATTTATTTACTTATCTAACCTATAAGCTTCAATTATTACATATTTATCACTATATATATATATATATATATATATATATGCATGCATGAAAATCTTAAAAGTTAAAATAATTGTATTTTTTATGTGATATGAAAGATTTGGATGATATAAATGTAAAAAAAAAAAAATGTAAGCTTTAGGTGGTAGATATGTAAATACATAGGAACTGGGGTTAGTATGCAAATGTCCCGTTTCTTTCAATTTTTAATTGTTTGCATAATTTTTGCAGGTGGGAATAACAGAGGATTTGGATTACCTTTCAAATGATATTCTGGATAATGCAACTATGTTATAGTGGAGAGATTGTTCTGCAATAGAAATGTGAGCTTTTTTTTTTTTTTTTTGATAATTAAATATAGA